GGCACTTTACAGCCTGCGTGTTCATTTCCTTCCCCACACTGGGCATATGTAGTCAAGTACCTCTGAAGGTCTACAGAAGTCTTTGTGCAGAAGATACAGGAAAGGTGACTGCTGCCTTGAAGAGCACTGGCACCACCCAAGTGATGCATTTCACACCATCTGGAAGCACAGCAGCAAGGTGTTACCTTTCTACACCTCAAGACAAGCCACTGAGCCATGGAACCTCAAGAAGCTAAGGTGTGCCTTAGTGCCGAGTTTAGTGACACTGATTAGAGGCAACAGGCCATTTAACATTAAAGAACATAATTAAGATGACAAAGGTTTTTTGTTTAAATTTGATTTGACTAAAAGGAATTCTTTAACTACTTGGACTAGTAGCTCCTGTAACAGGCATTTTATTTTAGTTCTGTCAGTTTGAATATTAATAATATTATTGAGTATTAAAAATAACTTCTCTGCAAGTTCTCACTAACCATAAACAGATAATTTAACCTTTTAGTCTAGGTGACAAACCCAACTAAAGTGGGCAGCACAGAAGTCACTTTTACAGAAAAAATAACAGATGAAACTGTGTTAACAAAGGGCTATTTTCCCAAACATAGCAAGTTCCTGGATATCCATATGCTTTGTTGACAGTATTTAACCAATGTGCTTATCTCCCATGGCACTGCTTTTATAGTGGGTGTACAGCTCTGAAGTGTGTCACCAGTTGCTAGGATCAGAGTTCGCTTGTAAAGCTTAAGTCTTGCCTCCTTAAAAGATTTAGCAACTGAAGCTATTGCACAGAATCTGAGCAAAGATGTTCCCATTGATCCGCTTACCAGGAAAACTATTTGTTTCGACTACAGTGGAAGTCAAATGATACCTGGAACTGGACTGAGGACTGCAGACATGCTATAGGGTAATGTTTGTTCTACCTTTGTTTCCTGGAACTTAGAGAGAAGACTGGCTTACAGCTCATAAATAGTAACAGGTATTTCACATGCCCTTGTTGAAGAGCATTGACATGCACAAGCCCACCCTGAAAAGGTGTTACAAGTAGGAGGGAACAACCACCACCCCTCTATTGGTGGTTCCTGAGTGAACAGCTAATAGACTCATGAGAAACAGCATATAGCATGCAAGGGTATTTATACTGAGAATTTAACTGTTGGTTCACACTTTACCTCAAGTGGTAAAGGCAATGAAGTAGTTTGTATTACTTTAACAGGCAGTCTAGTTGATTATGTTAGTTTTAGCCACTGCACAGTCACCTTACTGTGATCATCTAGATACCTTTAGATGACTATTTTATCAAGTTTTATTTCACTAGAAAAAGCACTTGGTTCTCCTTTTTTAGCTCACCCTAAGCCTTCACACAAAGGATACCTTAGAATGGTACAAACTCACTGCCTAATGCTGCTGTTGGAAAGCAAATTCTCAACTACCCTGTCAAGAACATAACCCACTCAAATTTGCCATTTTAGCCCTGCAGGATGGCATTTTCTGTCATTTACCATTACTGAACAAGATCTTTAACTTTCATTGCCAAGCTGCACTGCAGTGGCATACTGCTACACTGTGTGCCTTATACTGGTTACTACAGTAGAAAGCTTTCTGCCATCACCCTGTCCAGCTTGCCAGGAACAGAATGTTACTTAATGCGAGTTCTGGCTCAGAAAGTCAGTACTTTGGCCAACTGACCACCTGTGAGGTAAACTGCCCCACTGGAAGTGCTGTACAGGTTCTACCTGCAGCACTCTTAAAGAGCTTAACTGCTTGTGAAAGTACCATATGTTTACTACAATGCACAGCCATCCTACTAGCCTGCAGAGACACACACTACGAAAAACTTTCCTAAGTACTGAAATACAATTGACTTGCTTATCCAGTAGTCTACTGCTGAGCAGTCTACCTAAAACTTTTGAGTTCCCCATTAGGCTTTCCAACTTCCACCAGAAGTTCATGAGTACAGCAATACAAGAACTAAAGCATGAGGTTGTTCCACTTATTGTTTTCCAAGCAACAGATATGCTTCAGCTGCAATATCAGTAGACAGCTTGCCAGTAAAGCCTTTGGGGGAACTCTGCAGTATTTCACACAAGTACTTTTTGCAAGATATTAATTATCAGACATCAGTTCACGAGTGCTAGCAAGCTCAGTCTTCTCCAAAAAAGTTAAGCTTTGAGATTCACAGAAAACAATAAAGATAGAATTACCCTTGGATCAAGTTCATAAACACCATGACAATGGTACAAGTCTAATTGCATCAATGCAAACTTGAATCTCAGTGTCCTCTGACAATGTTACTGGCTTAGCATGATCTCCAGCCATAACATGAGGCTATCAATAGCTTTTACAAGAACTTGGCAGCAGTTAAGCCATCCATTTCTGCACCACTTAACATTTTAAGGTGTTAGTTGAAGACATAGCTTTCCAGATATGACACAGGTAACTCACTCCATCTTCTCACGTTTGTTCTGCTGCACTGCTGGGGGAAAATGCAAATGTCAGCTGCTACTTTGTGACCACAAGCAGTTGTCAAACCACAGAGGCAAGCTGGTGGCTATTGTCTGCCACGCTCCAACAAGCAGCTTATAGTACAAGTACATTCTACCTTTTAGAAATACAGTATTACAGCAATTCAAGTTCGAACTCTTCTCCCATGCTGTAACTTGCATATTAGCAACATGGTCTGTGTTCTGCTGAGAAGCAGTTAATTGATACAAGTTTAGACAGCGAACATAATTCTGCATGACTTGTATTACCTGCTCTGTAGCCTTCCAGCATACGGAGACCTAAAACTCAGTTTTACAGTTCATGATAGCTATGAATGTATACAGCATGGATGCACTATGTGTACAGTGGTGCACAACTGGAAAGGGAATGATCATGTATTATAAGAGATAGTCCTGCATACAAGCATGCAGAGATGCCAGTAAGGAGGGTGGAGGAAACAATGTTTATATAGCAGTCAGACTAGGAGGAAGAATAGAGGAAGGTCACAGTATTATCACTGTGTACATTTGTTCAAGTCACTTCTAGGTCTTCATTACAACAGGAATCCAGAATTTTCTACCCCAAACAGCACATGGGCCAAGAGTAATCTGTCTCAAAACTTGCTTTTCTGCTTTCCTTTCTGCTGAAGAACTTCAGTTGGGGATTTAAAAAAATTATTATTTCTTTATTCCCAGCAAATTTGGTCTCATTCCCAAGGCCATATCATAGCTAAGTCCCTTTTGTATCATCTTCCCTGGATCCAGCAATCCCAAATGCTCAGTCTCATGGAAAGAAAAGTCATCAGGAACTTAAGGCACAAATACTTCCCAGCAAGGTAGAGTTACATCTTTCTGCTAAGTGGACAGCTAGGGTCCCGATAAGGGCAGTGTGATGCAACACAAGTCGGCAAGTTCTAGTTTGTCATCACACAGAGGCCAAACACAGGCTACAATTGGTTGGACACATCCTGAAACATGAGCACAGCTACTGGACATGACAATTTAAGAGCATCAGAATTAAAGAAGTATCCTCCCTAGTAGCTTCAGATCTCAGCTGATTTTGCTTTTTTAAGTAAAGTTACACTAAGCTGAGAACTTGGACCTTTAATACCAGAATATGCACACAGGGTTTTAGTCTTGTCTGAAGAGTTTTAGTGACCAAGGCAGCAGCCCCCCAGCTGAAGCCTTCCCTGCCTTGAAAGCATGGGCACTCCATGGTGTCCAGTGAAAGAAGAACTCATATTGCAGTGAAGGTGTGCAGTGGGTCAATGAGGCTTCTTTACCCTCTATTACTGCCTGTAATAACTGACCAGGTTCAATCAGCTGTGACAGAGTAAAGCTATACAAGGTAGTAGACTCAACCACAAGCTACAAAAAAAGATAAAATTGTACGAGGTTATCTTTCTCAGCTGAACTTATGCCTGGCAGCGTACACTAAAAGGGTGCCCTGTCTCAGGTCCCTGCCAGCCACAGGCAAGGACCATGCCGTAGATATTGCATTTTTCTGTCCACTCCTCCAGGCCCTGTTTATGAAACTAGAAAGACCAGGAAACATAGGAATGACTTCACATAGTTTTTTTTTCAAGCTTAAGTCTATTAGCCTTTGGGGCAAGTCAGTGAACATGGCCCTTCCAGCTAGGAAGGCGTCTAGTGCTACTAAGAAAAAGTATTTGATAGCACACGGTGAGAAACAGCCCCATTTATTAGGCACTCAATTTACATTTCAGGTACAAAAGAAAAAAACAGGAAGCCCTCCCCCATATACACTCACCTTATCACTTCAGCTAGCATTGATCTAGCACATGTGCCCACTAGACTTATTTACACATTCTCTATGGGTTTTTGAGGCTGCTGGAATCCTGAACTTGACCTCCTTCTCTGGGCAGATCCACCCCTATTACTACACCTCAGAGAGCTGAGGGTTTGCCCTCTTCTATTTACTTTGAAACAGGCAAGCAATTGCTCACAGTACAGCAATATTTCAGTCTAATGACAGCTGTGCACAGCAGTGCTGAAACAGCATTTGTCCTTTGGTTATCTTCACTGACATGCGTTGTCTTCGCTACCACCAGACCCTCGCAGTTACCAGCTCCGGTCGCTCGCAGAAGCTGTGGCCTGCTCTCAGGCCGAGGATGAAGCCCACTGCTGCTCTGCCATCCCCTCCCCAGCGGTACTCGCCGCATTAGCTGCGAAACCGGCCCCGAAGGACACGGCGGCGGCAGCCCGTCACCGCCACCCCGGCCCGGGGACACCCCTCCCGCTTACACAAGAGCCGGCCGGAGCCCAACGCCGACACACAGGCCCCGCATTCGCCTTCTCTCGCCTCATATTTGCTTCCCAGGGCGCCGGGCCCCGCCGCCGGAGGGGCGCGCACGTAGCCCGCCGAGCTGCCCGCTGGGCGACC